TCACGGGGAAGAGTAATCCATGCTTCGTTGGCAGTCTTATGCCAACTCACTAACGTTGACGTGTACTAGTATTTATTATGCTCAAATTATAAAATTGGCCAATATAATTTTAAAATTTTGTTAGTTTGGAAGATTTAATTTAATAATTGATCTCCTATATTGGTAGACTAAATTTTTGATACATCCTCGTATAAATATAAAATTAGTGGAGTGTTGTATAAAAAATAAAAAATAAAAAATAAAATAAAATAATAGGTGGAGGACAGAGAAAGAAAGCAGCCATTTGACTTTAAAGAGAGTCATGAGAGGAGCGTGAACTAAGAAGGTCAGAATTGTCAATCGGAGAAATCCACGTGACCCTTGCCCTGTCGGTAAGAGCTCCACGTCATCCGCTCTTCACGGATTTTATTCTCATTTTGTAATTTACGTCGTAATCAAAATCATGTTTTATTTTAATTATAATTTACTATTTTTTCGCTAATGAATCATACCTAAATAAAAATCAAATATAAATATAATTTACTAGTTTTTCATTACTTATGAGTTTTATCTTTATTTATAAATAAATAAATAAATAAAAACATTTGAATTTTAAATAAAAATAAGTTGATAATTAATTTTTTTTTTTAAGCTTGAAATATAAAGCCAAAATAAGCGAAAGGTTACTCGTGGGGAGGCAAGACCCAAATTTGGTAATGGAATAATTAATGGAAAAGGGACCTAGCAATGTCAATTATTAAAAGCAAAGCAAGTGGAGCCTATGGCTATATAATTGTACCATATACGAATGCAAGCACATGCCCCTTTGTCACGCTATAGGAAAATTGATGTCTTTCCTTTCTCTCATTTACTACTAATATAATTATAAAAAATGTAAAATTTTACAATATTGTCTCAATTATAAAATAAAATTATTTATTCGTCCAATTTTTAGAAGAATTATTTATGGTTGATTAAGTTAGGTTTTGTTTCAACCCGTTTAATATTAATTTAACTAATTAAGATATTTATTTAGAAATTTTGGATTGGATGATTAATAAATGTTATTGAAATTATTGGATGTGAAAATGTCATGTTAATTAAATTCTAACAAATATTGGTAAGACTATTGCATGTGATAATGTCATGGTAATTGTTTTTCCACGTTGAAGGTTGAAGGAAGTGTAAAGAAGAGGGTAACTCAGAAAAAGGCTGTTTTTGATGCCTATGGAACATGAAATCATGGCCTTCCTCCATTTTCTTTTCAGTGGGCCTCTTTCAATAATTCTCCATTATAAAATTATCCCTCCACTCACTAAAAACCTAATATTTTATATAAATTAATTAAATTTTTTTCTTCCTTTAAAATTTAAAATTCCCGAGTGTCTAATTACCATCTTAATATCTTTCTCAATCATCCAATCGAAAGGATTACTCTCATTAAAATGTGGTCGGTTTATTATTGGACTCTTTATTTATGCGGGTGTCACCATAAATTTCTTAGTTAATTTAACTTAATCTTCGATTTCTATAACCAGCAAAAATTACATTTATTTTTATTTTTATTAGAAAAAGTATAAACTTTTGACTTTATTTTGTCACATGAATATGATTTGTCATTGAAATAATGAATGTCCACTTTATCTCTTTTTGTGTAATATGAGATTTTTCAGTTGAATGTGTTACTAATTGTCCATGATTATGGTATAGCTTCTCCAAACAAAAAGATCACAAAAGGGATTTTTTTTTTTTTTAATTTATATTTTTGTGCATTTTATCTCCCACCCCAATTATCCTAAATTTTTTTTTGAAGCTTTTGTCTCGTACTCACCGTTCAAGGGTTGCATGTTTTTTTGGTCTAATTTTAGTTTGGATTGATTTTTTTGAAAATTGAAAATTGAGTTGGTGTATGAGTTAGATGTTTTTTGGTCGGGTTAATATAACCAACTTGACAATAAAGTTTCTAACCTAATACTACTCTATTATAAAAAAGTTAAAAGTATATTTTGTAACGGAGGTTAGTAATGCAATATAACTTATAAATATAGCTTAACAACTTAATCCGAAACCATTTTTGTTTGTGGTTGAGATGGGTAAGTGGGGCATTGTTGAAGTGTTTGGTAAGATTGTGTGCTTTTAATCCTATATTTCCTCACCATGTGACAAATCCATCATCCAAAATCTCATAAAGTGCTAAAATGCTTCTTCAACCCATAAATCAATTAAGATTGGAAAATAATATTTATATATTATTTTTTAGAAATTGAGAGACATGAGAAGGTGATCACGTGAAGGTGGTCGGACCCCAAGAATTTGCTTTTTTATTTGTTTTTGCTTTCTCAAAGTTTCTTTTTTCTTTGAATTATGATAAATCTACACCTTTGTATGTGTCTCAATGGTATCATGTTCTTAGCTATTTTCTCTCGAGCAATCATTCATTTATTTACTCTTTTAATTTTACCTAACAATTTTATTCTTAGCTTGAACAATCCTTATCTTGTAATACCGCGTCATAATTATATGGGTCCATATATAAGGTTACTCCCTGCATGTTTATGTGATTGCATGCGAGATCCTTCCTTGCTTAAAGTTGTGATTTGAGCTTGCATGTGATATCACTTCTTGCATGTAAATAATATGATCCTACTAAGGTTATGTCTTATATCCGTTCCATATCCTAATAAAGATATCCAAATCATTAAAGGGTATAATTTTTCAAATTAAAATGAAAACATAAACTTATTATAATAGGCAAGTTAAGAAAGAAAATAATAAGGGACATAATGGTCAGAAATATGCATCAAATCTAAAAATGAGTAGGCGTAATTTCCGAGAAGCCCAATTAATAGGAATTGGGTCAGAAATTTATCTAATGGGCCCAAAGCCCAACTATTTGGTAGTAAAATATATATATATATATATATATATATATATATATATATATATTGATTTTAAAATTTTGAAATCTAAAATCAGAACTCAGTATGAAAATTATTGCAACTCCCAAGTAATATATATTTTAAATATAAATTTAGACAGATACCAATAAATTAATTACCTTATAATATATATATATATATATATAAAAGTATACAGTTAATTAATCTTAAACTAAACCCTATTTTTAAGGAAAATTTGAAATTGAATCTCAGGCAGAGAAGCAAGTGTAAACCACAGTGTCTGCGCCGGTGTGACCCAACCGGAATCCCGTTTTTCCGGCGTCGACAGACTTCTCCTTCTCGGAAGTTGTCCGGAGGGCGCGTCCTTTGATGGGCTCCGGCCGCCTCTCCTTGGCGGCGGCTTGTTTCTCGATGCGACGGCGATTGACGTAATCTTCGGGAATAAAAACATCCATAACGAATCCAGAAAATTGGAGAAGATTTAGAAGCAGAAGAAGAAGAAGAAGAAACAGAGGATGTAATTAAATGTGATTAAGGAAGTATTTATATGAGTAATTAGTTTGGGGGGATGATATGATACCGTGGGCCAATGGTCCCATGTTTTGGGTTAAACAAGCGAACTGCAGAGATTCATGCAGCTGGATTTACCAACAAATTTCATACCGCTTTCCCACTACTCTCTCTTTTTTCTTTTTCTTTTTTCTATACAAATTATAATTTTACTCTAAATTTGGAGTTAGTGTCTTAAAAAACTCTTAATTAACCAAAAACAAAGTATAATGCATATTTATATTTTGGATTTTAAATTTAATGTTTCCCGAAGTAAATTATCAAATAAAGGCTAATTAAACTTAATTGGCAAGTTAGGGGCATGCACGACACTTGGGTTAACCTTGACGTTGGACTTGAATTTTGGCTCAAATCATTTTAGTTTTCTTTGCCTCATGACTCAATCTTTTTGTATCAAACCAAATATTTTAGTTTTATTTTTTTTAATTAACTTTGTTCTCGGTCATCAAATTTTACCTATAATAATTAGCTTTACACAACCTTTTATTTTTAAATAGAAAAACATTATTTGTAATATCAATTTCATATCTTTCTTGTCTACAATCAATCTAAAAAAATTCCATCTTTGTTACTAATTTAGATATTGCCATTCCTTTTCTAAAAGAATCTATATTCGGTTTAATCAAAAGATTTGGAATAATTTAATAATTTTTTTTTTTTTGGTTGTAAGGTTACAAAAAATTCTTTTTTTAGAAAGAAGGATATTGGAATTTATCTGTATCAATGTTTTTGTATATAATTAATCCTAACAACCAAGAATCATTTAAAAAAAAAAAAAAATTAAGTAGAAAATATTTATTAATTCAAAAAAAGAAAAAGAAAAAAAAGAGTAGGTAGGAGTTGGACAAATCGGTCATTTACGCAAAAGCTAAACGTGTGGGAAACTTGGAATAAAAACTCCGATTATCGTGATAAATTTTAAATAATTTGAAATTTCTCTATTGTGCCACTTGTCAGTATCTGTGCTTTCTAATTTTAATAAGATCAAACGATGTAGGCGTTCGATGAGAAGGTGTACTGATAGTTCCGTGGGCACAATGCATCAGAAGATTCCTCGAATTAACCATGAATAAATGCTTCTGAGTAACGTATAACTGATAAATTATAGTAAATTAATTAATTTTATATCAATATGTTATTAACCAAATAAATAGTTTTTGATCCTCAAGTAAATAATTCTTTTTGAAATATAGGTGAAAAATCATGTCAAGTATTAATTTCTGAATTAAATAAGTTTTTATGCAAAAAATAATGTAGTACAAGCTCTATGTCTAGCCTATAAGAGAAGATGGTGTAATTATAATTTTGAAAAATAATATAAATGGGATTCAACTACCAAAATATTACAACGTTACATAATAATAATGTTTATTACTAAGTCCCAATACTGGCTATTAACTGATGAATGCATATGAATGGTATGTTATATGTAGATCTGGTCAAATAATTGGTGTAGCTCATATCTAAATTATGTTTTTTTACGTAACGAGTAACGAAAAAGACAGAATGACAGAATGGTGTAGTAGTAATTTAGGGAAGGCCCAAGTGGTGACTGAAAAAGGGCCGAACTCTTTTACTCCAAATCCACCAAACCAACAAACTCTTCTCTCACTTCTCTCTGTTTCTGAACAACTTGTTGAAGAACACCAAGGTTTTGCAGAGAAGAAAAGGCAGGGTGGCTAAGCTGAAGGAGTACGTTATGGGCGGCGCCGACGAGTCTGAACCAGATTCGCAGCCGTCAGTGCCGCTTCAAAACAACTCCCTCATTCCTCACAGTATTTTTCTTCTCTTCCTTTTTTCTTTTTCTGTTTGGTTTCTGGGAAAACGAAAATCACTCTTTCCCGGAAAGTTTTTGGTTATATTTTCTTCGCACCTTTCTTCTTTGTATCTCTGCCTCTCTTTTGTGTGTGTTTGGCTTCCTGGAAAATCTTACTTTCCCGGAAAATGCATCCTTCTCTTAAATTAGTAAAATAAAAATTATTAATAGGCGTTTCCTCAAAATAATAATAATAAATGGAAAATTATATGGTAAAGTTTTAACTACATTTACATAATAATAATTCCTTATTTACTTTAATCATTATTCACAATTCAGTTTTTATAAAATGGTTTCCAAATTACAATTTAATTTAAAAAAAAATGAATTATTGAACCAAAAAATAGTAAAAAGTGGTTTTTGAATGTACTGGGAAAAGAGTGCCATGACTGATCAGCTTTTTTTGCTACACAGCTTTATTGCCTTGTCTAGAAATTTTTGTATACCCTAATTTCTGAATATTTATGTAAATTACAAGAAATAAAATATATATATATTGTCTTTTTTTCTGGTTGTTCTCAAATAATCATTTATTTGGGAAGAAAACAGTGTCAAATTTATTTGTTTTCCAATAATTTGTTGGTCCTCTTTGGAAATAAATCTGCAAAATGACAGAAAAGTAATAATGGTGACAATCACATTCTTCATTAAAAAAAAAAAAAAAAAAAAAAAAAAAAAAAAAAAAAAAAAAAAAAAAAAAAAAAAAAAAAAAAAAAAAAAAAAAANAAAAAAAAAAAAAAAAAAAAAAAAAAAAAAAAAAAAAAAAAAAAAAAAAAAAAAAAAAAAAAAAAAAAAAAAAAAAAAAAAAAAAAAACATGTTCTTACAAATTATGTGCTTTATTCGGTTCATGTGATTTTTTGTTGTATTAGTGGCTGATTTCTTGTCTAACAAAGACAAAATAAATGACAGCGGTTTCAGCTCCTCCTTCCGACAAACTTGTTCCTCCAAAGGACAAAGGTAAAACTCTCCATTTTCTTTCTAGTTGCCTCTAATTCAACAACATTTGCAAGATTCTTGCTTTCGAGACGTTCGAAAGTGTTCGTTAAAAGTAGAAAACAAAACAAAGAAATTGTTATAGAACGGGGTTTTGTGATCTTAGATGTTGCGTTGGCTCGTGTCGAATTGGAGAAGAAGTTGGCATTGATCAAAGCATGGGAGGAGAGTGAGAAGATCAAAGCAGAGAACAGGTAAAATATAGAGAAGTTTGTTCATTGTTGAATTTTGGATTCTGTATTTGAAATCTTTGGAACAGGGCATACAAAAGGCTCTCTGCTATTGATTCTTGGGAGAATACCAGAAAAGCTTCAATACAAGCACAGCTGATGAAGTTAGAGGTACATTTTCATTTCTTTACTTCTTTCTCACTGATTAAGACTCGGGTTTTCGATACGAGTTTCGAAGTGTTTGGTCTTTTGTGAAACGAAAGGAGAAAATGGAGAAGAAGAAAGCTGAGTATGGCGAGCTAATGAAGAACAAAATCGTTGGAATTCACAAGCAAGGCGAAGAGAAGAAAGCAACCATTGAAGCTGAGCGAAGAGAACAGTGTCTGAAGGTCGAGGAGACTGCAGCAAAATATCGAGCTTCCGGGTTCACCCCGAAGACTCTACTACTCAGATGCTTCAGTGGTTGAGATGGGTTGGGGTTGAAAGAATAGACTCCTATCTCATATTTGCACTCTGGTTTTAGTCTTTGCTTCGTTTTGTATTGAGTTTGTTGGAGATGACTTGCAGGTGTTCCTTTTGATGTGTAAAGATTATATCAGTTTGCTGCGTTTTATCCACTCATCACTTTTCTTATGATCTATGCACTGATTCAGTTCTAACTAGCAGTATTGATCCATGTCTTCTGCTGCTTGTTTGCCTACAAAGCACGGGAAATTAAGCCATGTTATTCCTTAGCAAGTGTGATAGCCCAAGCCTACCGTTAACATGTATTGTTCACTTTGACCCGTTACATATAACGGTCAGCCTCACAGTTTTAAAACGCATCTATTAGGGAATGGTTTCCACCCCTTATAAGGAATTTTTCGTTCTCCTCTCCAACCGATGTGGGATCTCATAATCGCTAGCACACCGCTCAATATCTGACTCTAATACCATTTGTATCAGTCCAAAACCACTGCTAATAGATATTGTTCGCTTTAGCCCATTACGTATCGCCGTCAACATTTGTTAGGGAAATGTTTTCACACTCTTATAAAAAATTCTTCGTTTTCATCTCCAACTGATGTGGGATCTTACACGAACAGATCGATCATACATCATCCAATCAAGCAATAGATTATACAACAACGAGAATGAGCTGTTGGTATCGATTTTCAGAGTCGAGAACTGAATATGTGCAAGAAAAATAATGGTTTACGATCGAAATACAGTTCGATACCAGAATGAATATTAGTTACTGTACTAGTTAAAGAACGAACCTTTTACATATAAACATATGGCTGCAAATATGACATGACCAAGACAGCGACAACGAAAGGCAAACTACATTCTTTTGCTGACAAATTTTACTTCCAATAAGGGGTCACTTACATGTTGCAAGAGGATTACGCTTTGTTTTGATGTTTAAGCAGTCAGCCGAGCACAACCCGTGTCACGCTATCCTTTAGACCGATTACTTGCAGCTTTTCGTCTCGCGCAGCATCCAACTAAGTAGATGATCAGCTGCAAATGGAACTAAGAGTTAAGGATAAAGAAGGGGAATTGAAAACATCTGAAAGTGCTAGCAGAAAGTGTCTTACCAAGATAACAAATAGAACGACATTGAAGATCGCAACCAATCGCCATTCCGTTTTCATGTACTGTGCGACTCCGGCCCTGAATGATCAAACAATCAAATGATGATGAAACGGAGAATGAATGAAAGAATAAGATCACAAGAGATATTTACTTGCATGAATCGCAATCGTAACACTTGACTGCCTTCGAATTCTTGTATAGTTTGCAGTCATGGTTTGAATTGACAGGATGAAAACTCAAGTCATAAAATGATGCATTAACAGCAGGATAACCACACCTATCATTCATATCAGGATGCCCACAAGATAGCATCAGTCACAAGAATTCAAATGCATAGCTTACGGCCTTACGAAAAGCACATGAATTTAGTTTCTTCTTTTGTTTATTGCTGATATTAACATAAGAAAACGAACAAGGAATTTGAAAGTTACACCTACTCGGATGGGGGCCTGCAACAACCTGCTTCAATTGGCGTCAGCTTTGCCAACTTATACTGCTTTAGAGTCTGAAATTGTCAAACAAAATGACTTCATGAAAAAGTTCAAATAGTCTCATATTCAAATCGTCCAAGCTCGAAACAAGAACCTTGTATTTTTTTGAAAGAATATTGCAGTCCTCGGATTTGACGAGACAGCTTTTCAAACGCATCCAATTGTCAGTATCATTAAGCTGTAATGGCGCGCCAAGATTAGCAGAAATAAATGATCTTAATCTCTCTGCAAAAACTAAAATAGCACCCACCTGTTTTAGAAACCATGTACTGTAATCTTGTAGTTGATACTCCTTATACCTCATCAATGGGAAGAAAAGGGGAAAAGACATCAGTGTCGATGCAACAAGAACCGAACTTCGAGCATTATCAGCACCAGTTACTCTTAAGCATCCTCAAAACAAAGTTACTTACCTCAAGCCAGCAACAGAATGCCCTGAACCATTGTTTGTAACAATAAACCTAAAAGGGATTCAAATAATTACGTTAGGTTCAAGAAGAGTACAACAATACAAACTACATACCAACTGGGAAGACACCAAAGTAAGGTTCAAGCATTCGCAAAGAGGAAGTGTGAGCCATGTAATTTTGGTGGCTAAAAGATGAGAATAACTAAGGATGTCCACTTTGATACTTCCTTTTATATCTTGAAGGGATCGTGTGAAGATAACAAAGAAAATAAAAGTAAACGAAAGGAGTGAGCCATGAATGAAAGTGAAACCGTGGTTTAAGTATAGTGTAGTTCTCATCTCATGGCCTAACTTTATAATTTGTGAGATCCCACATTGGTTGGAAAGGAGAACGAAACAAGGGTGTGGCAACCTCTCCCTAGCTGACACGTTTTAAAACTTTGAGAGGAAGCTTGAAAAAGAAAGACCAAATAGGACAATATCTGCTAGTGGTGAACTTGGGCTATTACAAATGGTATCAGAACTAGACACCGAGCAGTGTGTTAGCGAGGATGTTGGGCCCCTAAGGAGGGAGGATTGTGAGATCCCACATCGGTTGGAGAGGGAAACGAAACATTCCTTATAAGCATATAGAAATCTTTTCCTAGCAGACACGTTTCAAAACCTTGAAGGGAAACAATGTCATCCACTCACTGAAGACTGAAAAGCATCGCCTCTCGTGATCGCACTAGCTCCTTCTTTCACTCATCTCAATCTTATTTAGAAGGCATCCCGACATAATACATCGAAGGAATCGTTTGACAAGTACACAAAACATAGAAACATAAGTCGTAAATTTTACCTAGCAGAACATATTCAAATAGGACATGTGAGAAAGCAATGTAATTTTTTTCAATATGTTAAAGTTTAGAAACATGAGAAGGGTTGCAATCATGGGTTTGATAATGAATCTACTTCAGAAACATATACTTACGCCAGCACCGTAAACACCAGAATCCCCACCAACGTAATGCACAGCATGATCAAATACTACAAGCAGAAGGTCAAGGTCGAGCAAATATTGGGAAAATTAACATCAAATGTTAAGACAAAACATTTAAAAGGATACAATCCACAGCAATATGGAATTGTTCTTAAGAGCACCAAAAAAACCAACGATAGACCTGATTCAAAAGTATTGATAGCAACAATATTGGGTGAGTGAGACAGAATATACTCTGAACTAAACAAGATTGCATTCCTACAAGAATTGAAAACTTACACCACAAAGATGAATCCACCAAGTCCCATAACAGGGAGAGTAAGAGACTTTCGACAGCCGTCATGGTGCGTGCCCATCCATATCCCAAATATTACGACAAGAATAGCTAGAAGCTGTAACATGAAGATACAACGTGATTCTATTGCAAGATGAGCAATCCTAGACCCGAGTAATCTTGCTAAGACATAGTTAACTAATGCTTAAAGCCCTGCTCCATAAACTTATTCTCGTATGAACTCCCACAACAGAGAAAAGGATTATGAAACTCATTGAACATATGAAAACAATTCAAAGGCAATGCAGGCAAAACCCATCAAACATACAAGAAACTTCAACAAATACATTGACAAAGGCATAAACAAAACCTCATTTGCACAACATTCGACAGGGGTGAAACTAAGTCCAAAGACATGGGAGAAAAAAGCAGAACAAATGTCCACATAGCAATGTAACATATAAACACCATCTTTGAAACAAAACAAAACAAAAAAAATGGAAAAATGAAGAGGAATCGTGCATACCATGGTGAGAAAATTGATCCATCTGATGATAAAGATGCTAGTTCCCATTCCCATTTTGCTCCTCTTCCTTTTCACCTCCTTGCTCTCAATGTCGCGGCCAGAAACAGAGAGAAATAGGTCCAAAAAGGCAGGAAAAAAAAATCCGGGTGTGAAAGTTTAAAGGGAAAATATAAAAAGGGAGAGTGGAGTTTCTTGAGAGCTTAGCTGTGGAGGTGGCTGGAAGCAAAGAGAGCGGCTACGCTGGGAGGAGACGGGGTGGAGTGGGGATAATGTAAGAAAAATAATGGCATTTTCGTCAAAGGAAAAGAAGAATCACATGGCTCTATGAAAACCCTGATGTTATCCACCAATCCGACAAGACACTCATAAAAGGGAAAGCCGTGATTTTGGACTTAAATTTGAGGTTAATGAAATTATGAGTCTAATTAGTCTTAATCATATTCTTAATAGACCAATGTTTACGCCTGTAAGAGGGCTTCCAGATCGACCCTGGTCTCTTTTATTTGCTTTTTCTTAGTCACTTTAATTAAATCTCTTTATTTCCCATCTGGGTTTGGTTTTTCCTTAACAAAATCTTATCTTTCCTTTTTTTTTTTTCTTAATTACGTTAAATTATGCTAGACTTTCAAAATTTATAAACAATATCTAAAACTTTATTTAATGAAATCTTTATTTCACCTCTCCCAATCATAGGTATTTAAAATATATCTACAACCATGTGAAAGAGATCATCCTTTTCATTTGATATCATTCATATCCACCTAGAAGAGTGGGTCATGTCACATCAATTTTCATTTCAAATTTTAATAGGTCTTCCATAATCAAAATTCAAGATTTTTATCATTACATATTTAACTGTATAACTTTAATCACAGCTACAGAATGAAGGGAAGAACTTGAAGGCTACAAACAATCTCTAAATACAATGATGTGGTTGAGTTTTAATCAACAGTAGCTTAGTTCCTTTACTTCCCCACAAGTGATAAGACTTTGGGCAAAATTACAAAGGCTTCTTCTCACTGTGAAGCAAACTGGAAGAGAATAAGATCAGTTCTAATGCTGCTCGCTTTATGTGTTTTTCACAATCAAAATTTTCTTCACAGTAAAATGCCTCTGAGACTCAAGAAACTGCTACTGTACCCTGTTGGTGCAAGTTAAGATGACAGATTTCACTGTTTCTTTATCCAATGATGTCTGAACCATCAGCTGCACAATAATATATCATATTCATAATTCAAATACCATTCTTCATTGGATACAAAAATAAAATTATAAGATTACATGAGTTTAAACAGATGAAGGCTGAAGTATACTTCATTTCGACTTAAAACAGAGTTGTCGAATTGGAAGTGTTAATCAGTTTGCTGTCTGTAGATTAAAGAAGAAAGGGGGTGCTCGGCTCGTGAGTCGAGCTTATGTTTATGTAATCCAGGGTTAAGAAGTCAAACTTATGTTTGATCTACCAGATTATGAGTTTGTTAATCTCAACAACGCCATACACCTACTTAAGACTTCTAAAACCCACATTTTCAAGTGTTTCATAACCTATTCCTTTGTACAATCTGACTTCTAATCCCAAGCATCATAAGATTTTTTAGCAACACAGTAATGTTTCTGAATATTTACCTCCTGTACTTTGTTTCCAGATCGAGCAAGTAATTTGTACTGATTTTCATACATAGAAGCCATATAAACCTGCATCAAATGGGAGAGTTGATGGGAAATTATCTGAGACACTGAGCTGTGCATAAGACCGTATAATTTCAAGGAACTAGCTAATACTCATTCACCAGAAATACTTTAGATCACATGAAAGCTGGGAATAAGATGGGAGTAGCTAAAATCTCTAAGAATAATGAGCCACAAAATGTAAAAATCATTTACTTCTAATACTATCCTCGTGATCCAGAACAATTTCCCCTGTTTTACCTGAAAGGTTGGAGCCAAGCCAGGGCTAAGGAAAAATCGCCCTTTGGATACAGCCTCAATACCTTCAGTATTTTGCAGTTCCTTGATGAGAGATTCTACGTCAGCCCACTGTCCAAAAATAGAACTTGTAAGGAAAAATTACACTGGTAAGAGATATTTTCCTCTTGTACTTTACTGATATTCATCCCACATATAGGTAGCATAGAAATTAAGGATGCAGCAGATATGTATATAAAACGTTCATAAATGCCAAAAGGTGATTGTTAGTCGGATGATAAGTTCTGAGATAATCACCATGTACCAATCACTTGCATCGAATTAATAATACTAACTAACAAGAGAATACAAACACCTCGGTGTCCACTTCGGCTGATTCTAATCTTCCATCCATGGGATCGTGATCACCAACCACAGACTCCAATGCTTCAGCGAGCGGATCTGGCTGCATAAAGAAAAACACGGTTTCTACTCAGAATAGTTGCTAAAACTATATAAAGATGTTTAATTTATGAAGTCATCTTACTGTAATCTGCTTCAACGATAAGAATATGCGTTCAAGTGAAAAATCCAACTGATGAACTTTTGCCTCGACAACCTACAAAAGTAAGATATGGAGACAAATTTCAATTATTAAAAGAAATGGAGTAAAATGAAATTTTGACATATGAGCTTCCACAGGTAGCTCATTGGTATGTGGCCAGGTTCCACCTCCATGTGAGGGGTTTGAGCCCTATTTCCCCCTCCCACCAATTTGTGGAGTAATGTAATAGTTTCATAAGAATAAAAAAATGACTTGTTTTCAGCTGAGTTTAAGAGTCAGGTTGCAACTTGACTCTTTAACTTAGGCTGGGAGAAATTCAAAATACCTGACCAATCTTGAAGTATGATGCAGGGTTTAAAGTAGCATCCCAAGAAACCTCAGTCTGATGAATCAAAGCGGGCACTCCTTCGATCTATATCAACGTGGTTGAGTTAAAAAACTCAAAATTTTAGAAGACATACACAACCCTTAAAACAAGTAAACGTGTCCAAAAGAGCAACTTGAAATGAAGAATGTTCATATCCAACCAGAAAATGTACCACCGTTTCTTTATAAACCAAATTTTCCAAAGTGCACCACATCACTCTGACATACAATTATACAGTGTAGAAAACAAGAAACTCTTCCATTTACCTCGACAAAGATACCAAAATAAGCGATCTTCGTGATGCAACATTTGACAACATCTCCTACTTGCAGAGTAGCCTGGATAAGCAGGTAAATGAAATGAGGATGCATCTTAATGCTAAAGGTTTGAGAGAATCAAAATTCTCTATTTCATTCACTAAAGAGATGTATACAAGTGGACAAGGTTAACCTAAAATGCTGCTAAGGCATATCCAACCATCTCAGCAAAACTATCTTGAATATGGAAAGTGTTACAGAAAACAAATGAAAAATAAAGAGGAACTGAATAGTAAACAATGAACACTACTGTTTCTTGCATGATATCTAATTAATCATTTTGAAAACCCAGGAAAAAATTATTAATTATCTTGGAGCATAGTAAGTTAAAAAAATGAACTAGCATTCTAGCATCCGAAAAACGCTACAACAGGATAAAGTAGCTAACCATTAAACTCCTCTTTTTCTCGACCAATTCTTCCCTTTCTTTTTGCCTTATGGAAAATATAAGCTTCCTTGATTTTCTGTTAGCCAACACCACATTTACTTTGATTTTCTGCAAATATACATTCCATCAGTACTCATGAACAGTTGTGTTTGCTGAAATTAGTGAGGCTTCTAAACCTGGCCGACAAATGATGACAAGAATTTGAGTTTCTCTCGATCATAAATTTGAAGAAGATCCTCCAATTTCATGTCAGGTGTAAGCTCACTCCCATTTTTTACATCAATTTCTGGATCCGGGCTAGTGCTAGCAAAGTTCGGGCTTCTACCGTCACTAATTCCAATAATTCCCAAGTTTTGCTTGTATAGTGAGGGATCCAAACCTTTCTGTCTTAGCCAAGACTCGAAAGCTAAGAACTTCCACTTGGCAGAAAGATTACGATATGGAATAAATCCTACGATGGAGCAGAATGATACCTTCACAAATCAAGAAAAAATTAATGCCAAAAAGAAAAATGAACTTCAAATAAAAGTAAGACAAAGCACTTTCTGCAAAATATACTTACAACAAAACCTCGGGTAGTCGAGCTTATTATTTCCACATCAGCTCTGTCTCCTGACTTCGCCAGATCTTCTGCTTTAGTCCAGTCAGCAAGTTCATGTTCCTGCAAATTTATCAAGCACCTGGGACTTACACACTAGTGATTGAAATAAATAAGGTAAGGAAACAATAATATGCACAGCCTGACCTCCAAAGCAGGAAGAGCAGAGAAGTTCTCTGTCTCACCAGCACCAATAACATCAGGAGTCGAGGTCTTTTCTCCACCGAGTTTTAATGTTTCATTTGAAGAATAATCTACCCTGGTTAATAGTACCATGCAACCAAATTCATTTGGGTATAAAAGAAACAGAACATTACAGATCATAAAACTACAGTAGCTACCTTTTTGGTTTACCCAACAACGTAGCTTCGTTGGACAATTTTATTGTCGAATCCAAAAGATCACTTAATGATTTGCTCGAATCTGGTGTGTCCTCAATATATCCCATATCACTTGGCTCGGGTGGCCGCAATCCTTCAGATGACCAAATACAAAATTACATTTTCATAATTTTAACTAAAAATAGGTGTTTAACTTTCAAGAGAGAACTAAAAGACAAGAAAAAAAAAACCTTATAACATAGATTATTACCTACAGCAAAATAATTATTATCTATCCCATTTTCCTTTGATGATGAGGCGTCTTCGGTTTCTTCAGAAATGGCAGACACATTTTCGTTTTTATCATCAACTGTACTACTTTCTGAATGATCGAGATTTTTATGATCCCGTTCATTTTCAAGTCTTGTGTTTTCACCTATTTCTGGCTTCTTAAAAAGAGTAAACCCATCAATTCGATCACTTGTTGATCCCTTACTAGCCTGATTTACAACATTCTCTTCACCAGATAGCTTTTCCTTCTCATCAATAACTTCATTTGAAACCATTGGTTCTGGCTTCCTCAACAGCGTCATATCGCTATATTTCTCCTTTGTTGATACATTGCTCATTTTCAATGATAAATTTGGCTTCATTCTTATTCTCGACGGTTTATCTTCAACATCATCCTCCTTATAAATTGTCGGTTTCCTCAAAATAACATTGGGAACCCTGCCCTTAGGACTAACTGCTTGGCTTGGTTTCTTTAAATCTGGTGCTGGTGGCTTATTGGCAGCTTTTAACTTCATTTCCTTCTTTAACTGAGGTCTGACCAAATTCAAACCATCAAGAGAAAGTTCCTCTACCTCGTTGAGCTTACCCTTCTTCTGGTAAAATGATTTCTCAACTTCAAGATAAGAAGCGCCGGTGTTCATTTTTTTGCTCATTATCTGAATAATCAACACGTGCCAATAATTTCAATTGAATAGTGAGAATTCACCATCACAAACACAACACATTGCACACACATGAAACCATAACTTCAAGCCAGATCAAACAAACTTTAAAACACAAATTCCAAAGGCTTAAATTGATAGATTAAGATCTTTTTTATTCTTTTAATCATATTTTTAACTCTCCTATCATGCAAAGGTTGGGAAATTAGCACAAAATTCAGCCATCTTGAGCTCCAAGACAATATATCCTAATCCAACAAATGATTATCCATATTAATTCAAAAGGAAATAACATTCCATGAGTAAACACATACTTCCCCTATGACATTGTGTTAAATTATCATATAACTCAAAAGCTTTAGCATTATTAGATTATGCCCAATACTTTTGATTCAATTTAGATTCTGAAAACCACTCTTGAGAAAGAAAAAGAGACCTTGGCCAGTGTTAATTTGGGGTCTTCGCCAATCATGCGGCCAAACTTGAGCTCCATTTGGTCCCATTTGTCGAGCTCAGCCTCTTCTTTGGAAGCAAGAACCGAAAACTTACTGGGTCTGCCATTAAAGCACGGATTTCTAACAGAAACTCTTCTGGGTCGCAATAAATCAATAGGTGTGAAGAAGGAGGAGGCCGTTAGAGCGCGACCGTCCATTCCTTGGGTAAAGGAATTGCAGTGACTAATAGACTTGCTTCACAGTTATTGATGTTATTCAACTCAGTGCAAATGAAGGTGATGAAGTTTTGGGGCAGCTTGAATTTAGGAGACTATGAACATGAGATTGAGCTACGAGCATTTTTTTTCCCCCAGAAACTGTGGAAGTATGAAGAAGGCGATAGAAATTGGTGAAGTCTGGGACGCTGGAGTTTATCCGCCACGAAAAAATAAAAATAAAAAGAAAAAGAAAAAGAAAAAAGAAAAAGAAAAAACCTGAAGCAAAACGGGAAAAATAAATAAATTTAATATTTTGATGGTCAATTATCTGAACATAATTTTTTTTTGTTAAAAAATGTATCTAATTATTTAATTTTTAGTCTTAGTATATAAATATCATAGTATTTTATTTTATTATTTATTTTATATAAATATTGTGATATAAAATGAAAATAAGTAAAGCAATTTGAAATGGAGATGTATGGACGACACATCCTTGACAAGCATGACCAAGACATTTGACATGTAGACACAAACAACATGTCAAATATGACCATGTACCTGGCTTAATTATTACAACTCAATTTGAAAACTTGTTAGCCATAAGATTACTCTAGTGGAGCTATACGTGAACAATTTTTCAAGTCAATTGATCTACTAGAGCCACCTACTTTTTTCAAGAAGATAGCCCCCGATGGATTTGAAAGACATACCTGGCATAAGAATTCATAAGCAATAATTGATATATTACACTCAATCATGAGAGGAATGAGAACATTTTTTGACCGAAGATAACTGCAACATCTTATTCATCTTGGGTTTGTCTGTAAACTTGCAGGTTCGTATGTCTTAATGTGGTTAAGCATCTTTAATCTTTAAGGCTTCATATGAATGTGTTCAACTGTAATTAAGATTATGAAGACCACCTCTTTTGGATTTTTTTGGGCCTCAATTTTTGTATTCTAATATATATTGAAACCAATTTGTGAGGGGTGAACGAAACATTTTGAAAAACTCTCTTTAATAGACGTGTTTTAAAACGTGAATCCTAAATAGAACAATATTTGAGAGTGGTATCAAACATTGAACAGACAATCCATGGCACTGTATGACCAAATTCTTTTTAGAATCTCAACTTTTGAGGTTAAGATCCAAGGCCATATCTAGCCCTTCAATCAACCTATCTTGCTTATACCTTGACTTTTCTTTAATGTCCATTTTGTATGGTGTGTTAAATGATGCACTCTCCTCTTTGGTCGCATCACAACACTCGTCTAAGCCCTCGCATGGTTGGATGAGCACCACTTTGGAATAGTCAATTCTCTTATCACTTGTCACAACGTAAAGGTCACGATCTACTCTCTTTGTAATTAGATTGTAACATTATTATCCACTCAAATTAGTCACCGTTGATCTTTCTTAAAAAGCATTTTATATTGTGTTAAATAAATAAATAAATAAAAGATTTAAGATGTATAAGAATCCCATCGGGATCAAATCTCATCTGGGGTCCATTGATTTAATGCATAATAACAAAGACAGACCCCATTTGGAAACCCCTTGTTTGGTTGTCATCAAATTACTCCATTGCCTGCATTCAATTTTAAATGCTTTTCTTTGGATAAAATTCAAATAACGCTGCCCATTTACTTTAAATACTTTAGGTTTATCTTTACCATATTAAAAAAGTCAGGATAATTGCATTTTATGACCTATTTAACATAAGATACAAATTAAATATTATTAATTTTGATTTCCGTGTGGAAAAGGCTTACAAAAGTCCACTTTGGAGCAAGGCTTTTAGTCAACTGTTGGAAAACGACGCTGTTTCAGAAAACTTTATACCTATTTTTTTCTTTTACAAAATAATAACTAAAATTATCACCAGATAAGACAGAGGCTCCAAGGGTGGGGTTTTTTTTTTCTTTTTCTTTTTATTTTTTGGTTTTTTGTGGAGGAGCACGTGGGACATGGGTGGCACTTTGCAGAGTACCAAGTACCCACATTTGATAACACGTGTCAACTTTTTACTAAACCAAACCGAAATGATTTTATTAAACTAAAAAACGGAAAACAAGGCGCCTAATTAACTTGGTCAACGCCCAACATATTTTCAGAAAAAAATTATAAAAAGAAAAAAAAAAAGAAGTGAATTTTACAACTAAATCGCGGTGGAGTTTTGAAATGACCAGACTGCCCTTCCACATTTCTCGTTATATCACGTTTAGTCAACACGGTGCAGTCTTACAATATTTCTTCTCCTAAATTAATTACGGGTACATTATAAAGGGCATCCCTAACGTGCTTTCTGACCAATAATTAATTCTCTTTACCCTTATTTGATATTTTTTAAATTAAATTAATCTTTATTTCTAACTTTTTAAAGATGGTAAATTTTGGTATATTTTAAAAAACAGGCTTGTTTTATGACGTTATTTGATGTCATAAAGATTTTCCAAATATAATCTTTTTAATCATGTAAAAATTTATGAATATATCATTTTTTTTAGAATTTAAAATGTATTAACAAACCTCGTCTATTTTCTCAAAAATAATTGTTTATGGCCCTACCAACTACTTAGGATCATGTGATTTCACCTGGAGTGTGAGTTAATGCTATTTTTTTTTTATTAACAAATTTAATCCCTACAACTTTTTACAAATTGATTTCAATTAATAGAAACTTATTCTCGGTGGCTAAATTTATTTAATTAGAGGCCACTCATTTAATAACTTACATCTATCTAACTCAAATATTAAATTAAATCGCTTTAATAGATATCATAAGCAATCACTTATACTTTTTTATTATTGAAGCGGATAACAAAAAAAAAATAATAATAATAATAACTCTTTATATATATTTTTTCATTTATTTTCAATAATCAAATTTCACATGTTTAAATTTTTAATTCATTATAAATAATTAGAATAAACGAGAGTGAGTCAACATCATAAATATTAACTACACCTAATATCAACCATGATATAATTTTTTCCATAACATAAAAGGATATATATACATTTATTGTACTAAAACCCAAGGTTTAGACGTAAATTCAACAAAATCAAAGGGTAGTTTAGTCAGACCCCATGTCACAAACATATGAATGAGATTTTGGATCCACATTCATCCGCAAGTTGCCGGCTTTTATTATTAAAAAGACATTTCCCCATTTTCCATTTCTTCTCGATTCCTCCACTTCTTCTAATTCTTCTTCAAAAAACCTTCACCTCTCTCTCTCTCTCTCTATCTCTCTCCTCCACTTACACTCCAACAATGGCTTCTCAAAACCCCAATTCCTCCTTCCTCCTCCTCTTCCTCTTCACAATTCTCCTCACCACCGCCTCTCTCTCCGCCGCCGCCGCACAACAACAGCCGAATGATTCTCTCCAACCACCTACCTCTTCAACATTTTCACTCACAAAGTCACCGCCCGCCGTCGAGGACGTCATCGCACCCCAAAACCACGCCGTTTCGCTCCGCAAAGTCCCCGCCGGTCCAAACCCGCTTCATAACTAAACCGATCAACGTCGGAGCTTGAAGCAAAAATCACCGAATGCGACCGCCGCCGCCACCACCACCAACATTCTTTAATACAGGTTCAAAATACAGTTTTCGAATTCTCATAGCATTAAATCTCGGTCATACTGTTTCAGCTCCTCAAATAATTTCTTCCAACAATCTTTTTGTACTCTCTTATAGGGTATTTTTTTTTTTTCTTTATACAGAAAAATTGTGTAGAGCAATAATAATTATATGTATGTGATGAAGAGATGACAAACGACAACGTTTTGATTGATTTTTGTGAAGAAATTTATTGACAAAATATAAGATCGAGAATTCCGCCATGGTTGTGTGTGTATTGAATGGAGATGGTGGGTTCAAGTTCCACAGTTATTTTCAATTTTATAGTCAAAATATTAATAATTAATAACTTTGAAATAAAAAACAATTTATTTGTCAGCTAATTAATTAATTTTTATTACAAATAATTACATCTAATGTGATTCCAATTTGGTAATAAACTAATTTATTTGTCAGACATTATATAACGTCATCTTTTTTGTTTTATAAGGAAATTTTTGTCAAATTTATTTCAAACAATTGGGAGAAATGTCTGAGATTTTTCAACTCTTAAATCAATCTGTTTGAGACAAAGTATTTAATTGAATTTCAAATAATGTTTTTTCTTTTTTTTTTTTTAAATATATAATCATGTATTTTAAGGATAATTTATGAATTTGAATAATAAGATAATGTGAACGAACAAGAATTGGCAAGGAATTTAAGGCAACCACCAATTTGATCCTTATTTAACTGTGGCAATGAAGAAAAGTTGTTGGTTATGTTCCCTTTGGAAATGGGAGGTCAAATCTTATATTACCAAGTGGCCCTAATTGTGCATCCATAATTTCTCAATGTGACAAAAATGCAAACCATTTCTAATATTTATTACAAGACTTTGTAAACGATCTATCGATTATTCATTGTTATATAATCTGCTTGGATTATTTATCGTTTAGACGATTTTTTGAAACTCCGGGGTGGGACGAAGAAACTTTCATGGTACTCGTTCATTTTTATGGGTATTGGAAAACATTTCATACGCAAAAATACAATGTCATGCTATATCAACCTAATTTTTTAAAATTTTAATTTTAATATTATAATAAACCCCTTTAAGGTAAGGAGATGATCTCCCTCCGGCAAATCTATAATTTTTCTATAACTAATAATTTAGTTTATAAATTTGTTAGACGAACACGACTCTCCACAATGGTATGATATTGTCCATGAGAGCTTTGCTTTGGGTTTTCCAAGATGCCTCGTACCAATGGAGAGAGTATTATTTGTTTATAAACGTAGGATCATTCTCTAAATATTTAACGGACGTGAGAGATTCATCATCCAACATATTTATGTTTTGTAATTTATTAATGTGACATTGGATAATGTAATCGAAATTTGAAATAGCTGACTATTTTAATTTAATCAATAAAGAATAAAAGAAAAAGAAGTGACGAAAATCCAAATAGTTTTTACATTTTTTTTTACAATTTAGAGCACGTGTTGAAAAAAAAAAGTATATATAAAATGCAAAATCTGGGTATTATTGGTAGGCATAACGGAGACGGATTGATCTGGTTTGAAAATTGAGGAAATCAATGTTGCTCAGCTCTTTCAGTTGGCTCTCCATTTTAACCCAACGGGTTGAAGCAG